TTTTTTTTTTTTTTTTTTTTGAGACAGGGTCTCCTTTGTAATTCAAGCTGGCTCTGAACTCACTGTGTAGCCCAGGCTGGCTTCGAACTCATGGCGATCCTCCTGCCTCAGCCTCCCAAGCACTGGGATTACAGGCGTGCGCCACCACGTCCAGCTGGGAAGGGCTCTGTGTAACATAGATGAAGTGAGGAAAAGAGTTCTATGTGACACATGAGGGAGGGGAGGGTTCCATGGGGCTCTTTGTGACACAGATCTAATGAGAAGAGCTCTATGTGACACACAGGTGAGTGAAGGGCCTCTTTGTGACACATGGGTGAGGGGAGGGGCCTTCAGTGACACACAGGGGAGGGGAGGGGCTGTATTATACCTGGGTGGGGGAGGGGCTCTGTGTGACAGGAATGACTGGAGGGGCTCTGTGACATATGCTGAGAGGAGGGGCTGTGACCCACAGGTAAGGGACAGCTCTATGTGACACAGACATAGTGAAGAGAAGGACTGTATGGGACACACGCGAGGGGAGGCGCTCTACTGACACTTGCATGAGGGGATGCTCTGTATGTGACGCGTAGAAAGCTATGGGGCTCCCTGTAACTCCAGGAGAGAGCACATCACACATGAATTCAGCTTCATGGGCCCCATGATTGGGGGGGTCCGGGATGACATGGACAGGAGCTTGGAGTGCAGGGACAGGCTCAGAGTGACAACCGAAGGGCAAGGCTTGGGGTGACAGGTGCATGGGAAAGTGTTATGACACGGTGCAAGTGGGTCCCTGAGTGACCTGTGGGGACAGGAGGAGCTCCCCACTCTGAGGTGAGGGAGTGGGGCCACTGCGCCACAGAGAAAGGGAAAGGGAGCGATGCAGAGGATGGTGCGTGCAGGGGGAGCTCCATGGGGCACACGACTGGGGAGTCAGGGCGCTTGGAGAGACTGCACGGGACAGGTGCTCTGTATGACAGAGTTGTCAGGGGAGCTGGGGTCCACGTGACACGGTGACACGCGACTGGGGAAGGAACTCCACATCACACCTTCAGGAAGAGCCCGAGAGACCTGGGGTGGGGAGAGGGGCTTGGTGTGACACACTGACACCTGGGTGCTACGTGAGTGGGAAGGGTCTGTGGGTCACACGTGGAAGAGCCCTGCAGCTGCAGGGTTCAGGGTGGCACATGAGCCTCGCTGTGACACGCAGGGGAGGATTGGAGCCTGGGGGGACTCGAGGGCTTGGGTGACACATGGATGGGGGCTCTGTCATCCCAGTGGAGGAAGAGCTGCATGAGTGGAGGAAGGAATTGGTGTGACAAGTGGGCTTGGGGGATTCAGCGTGACAGAAGGTCTGTGAGATATGGGGCTAGAAAGAGGGCTCAGTGTGACACGGAGGACAAGTCGAAGTGTGATTCAGCGTGACACAAGGTGGGAGGGGCTTTCGGTGTGACACGCAGAGCAGTGGGGCACGTGGGGAAGAGAAGCCACATGCGGCCCCTGAAAGGGTGAGGCCAGTGTGACACATGGAGGTCCTGGTACAACATGAACATGTGGGGGGGGGTGCGTCTGTGTGACACTTAGGGGTGGCTCTGCGTGACACAGGAACCTAGCCTAAATGTCATGTCAGGGACATCCACCAATGGCCCTCCCACGGGCACGGCAGTATCGTGGGCCGAGGGCACGGGATCCAGGGTCCCCTGAGCTTAGCAGCCCCCAAGACCTCCCCAGGTACCCCCAGGTCTGACTCACGGTGGAAAAACGAAGCCACCACACAGCTCTGGGAGGTGCCCTCTGCTCCCCCCACCCTGCTCCCCACCCTCATCTGAACCCCACCCAGCACCAAGACTGGAGCACGGCAGCCTTTGAACACAGCTGAGCCCACCCTTCCCAAAACAGCCACGGGGTCTTCAGAGACACTGCAGTCCACACCTTGGGCTCCCAGACCTAGGAACTTACAAAATGGGTTATGATGGCCAAGACCTTTGCATCGACAAACAACACAATTCCCATCAAGACCACTGTGACTTCAGTTCCTTCACTTACGGCCTGCAGACCCCAAAATGCACAGTGAGGAACAGGGATGCAGGATGCAGGTGGGGGAGCTCCAGGGGCAGGTGTCCCACAGGAACCCGGAGTTGAGGACCTGGAGCAATCAAGCAGGGACTGATTGCTGAGGCCCTGAGCTCTGGGTGCCTCTGCGAGATGCAGGCCCCCGGAAAGAGAGGCGGCGGTGGCTCCCCACCCCACGTCATCCTGGGCAGCCCGGTCCGGGCCCTTCTGCTGTCCACCAGCTGGCGTGAGGTCTCCCAGGGGCAACGTCCATCTACACGATGTCTGGACAGGGCCTGGTACACAGAAGACCCTCACCGTATATGAAAACGAGTGAATGAAAGCCTACTATGTACAAGGCCCTGGAGGCCAGAATGAGCCGGAAGCGAGGATGATGAAGGTGAGGTGGGTGATGGAGGCCTGAATGGCCGCAGATGACAGAGGCCAGATGGAGGTGACAGGAGCCATGACGATGGAGTCCACGGTGACAGGTGTGCATGAGATGGACCCGGATGGGAGAGGAGGCCGCGCCAGCACTGAGCCCAGGAGCCTCAGGGCAGGTGGGCCAGCCCTCCACTTGCCCACTCACACCCTGGGGCACCAGCCCTTCCTGAACCAGCTGTCCTTCCCGGAGACAGAATCCCGGAGAGCCGCATTTTGCCCCCACCCCTGCCTACTTTCTTTAAATTGTTTCCTTGTTTTAAATCAGTACTGGAGATTGAACCCAAGGCCTTCACACTGAGCTACATCTCCAGATCTTTTCTATTTACAGAATTTTTTTTTTTCAATTTTGAGACAGGATATCACTAAATCACTAAGTTGTCCCAGCAGGGCTCAAACTTGTGATCCTCCTGCCTCAGCCTCTGGAAGTGCTGGGTTTCCGGGTGCGCAGGTGTGTGCTACCACACCCAGCTTCGCTCTGACGTTTTGCCCCGTAACAAAATTTCTGTACCAAGTTGAAAGCGTCCCCGTGATCTGGCTTCCACCACACTACCTGGATGATTTACAACTGGCGCATAAACTGTCATCACTAGAGATGAAGTTCCCGTGATCCGTCCACTCTAACCCTCATTGGCAAACCAATCAGGCAAGACACACTTTGTTCAGAAAAACTCCGAGGCTATTTTTGACACTTCTCAACTGAAATCAATGCGTTCATATATATCAAGAAGACAAACATTTCCCACTGGATCCGGAATCCCCCACCCCATAAAGGGTGGGGCGCAGACACTGACCTGGGGATGGGCGGCGGGTGGCGTCTCCTGAGTGCGCAGGTCCCAGACAAGGCGAGTGCAAGGCTCTGCTGAAGGTGTGTCGCCACAGCAGAGCTCTGGCTGGCTCTGTCAGTTCCCAAGGTGCCCGGAGCCAGCACCTCAGGGTGGCCGAGGCACCTTGCTCCATGCACTGTCCTGGGCGCTGCCAGGGAAACTGAGGCAGGGCTAAGGCATGGGGGGCTGGTCAAACCTCGAGCGAGGGGGCACGTGAGGATTCATTCCAGGCCGCAGGAGCAGCACGGACCAGGCAGAGCTCTGTCCTGCCAAGAAGAGGCAGTGGCAGAAGGGATGGGACGCACCAGGCAGTGCCCAGGGACTCGTGGTGCAGGGGACTCTGGGAAGTGGGTCTGGGGAGCCGGGCGTCTGGGGTCTCTTCGCACTCCACGCTCTCTGCCATCTGTCATCCCCGCCCACACACATATGCACACACAAGCTCAGACCGAGCACACGCAAGCGCTCACACTGGCACACACTCCCAAGCACGCTGCACAGTCACACAGCTGCCCTCACTGCACAGGCGCCGCTGCCACACACGCGCCTGGGCCAACACAGGCCGGTGGGCAGAGGAGCCCATCCACCCAGCCCCCGAGGTTCCTGGCCAGGGTAGGGCGCTCATCTCAACCAGGGCCAGGGCGGCAGAAACCTCCAGGAGCTGCACTTATGGTGGCATGGGCACGAAGCTGTGTGGGCCACCCTGTGGATCACCCTCAGCTCTGGGGCATGCTAGATTCTAAGTATCTAAATTCCGGCCCCTCCAATCAATCCCAGGCCCCAGAAGTCCGGGTCTGGGGTACACCAGGGGGTTTTTCTCCTTGCAGGTTCAGAGAATGCCTTCCTGGCCTGGCCCACAGAACCAGTGTCCTATCCCGCCTGCCCCCCTTGGATACCCGAAAGTCCTGATTGGCCTTGGCTGGTCGACAGGTTCTGCACTTGGATATGGGCTCTAACTGGCCCTCAGCCACACACAGGCACCTCCATTCATGCCATCCACCATCCACAACAACAAACAGACAATAAAGTGCTTTGTAAAGTGCAGGTATATAGTAATGTTCCAGAACACCCCCCTCCCAGAGGTCCTCTTCTGTTTGAAGAGAATGGACCCCATGCACCCCACCCAGTGTACCCACCTAGGGGCCCAGCTATCCTATGGTAGTGTCACCACAGTGTGCCAGCACACAGTAGGTGCTTAATAAATGCCTGCTGGGCTGAGCTGATGCCATGAAGCCAACCCTTGCTTTGGGTAATTCAGTCCCAAGTGTTCTTTCCAGAGGCTCCCTGGCTACAGGGGGCAGCTGGTGACCATCTGGGAAGCCTTTGCTCTCAGAGGGGGCTGGTCAATGTCTGGGAGGCACTCTCTCTCTCTCTTGCTGATTATCATCTGGCTTGAACAGGACCCAGGTCTGGGCAGATGGCCACCAGCCTGTCCTGCTGCCAGCCCACCCGGCCTCCCCGCCCACCTCCACCATCGGCCACTCCTGGACTCAGCCTTCACAAGAGGCACCTGCTGCCATTCAGATGGGCATCTCTGGAGGCCTTGGCTGGGTTTCCAGTTCAGTCAGATAAAATGCTCTGTGGGTGGGTGTGGCGTCCAGTGTGCCTTCAGGGTGTGTGAGGCAGTTTGCTCCTGTGGCAGCAGGTACGTGAAAACAGCCCCCCTGTTTAAAGGAGGGACTCAGGTGAAAGCTTTTATGCACCTGCCTGCCCCTGACCCATTCCAAACTCCGACTCTCAATCGGCAGCCACAGGGAAGGATAAGAGGGAAAAATTACAGTCATCAGAGGAAAATTGCCATCCAGAGCATCTCCACTCCCAGATTCATCCATGAGCTGAGTGGGCAACATCAGGGAAGACCAGGGCTCAGCTCAGCTCCTTCTGAACAGGGAGAAAGCTGTGATTTTCCTCTCAATCATTGCCTGCCTCCTGCCTGGGGTCCCTTTTGCTCAGTGGCTGCCACTCATGAAGCTCACCAGCCCCTCAGGTCTGTCACCTGGCACCCACCCAAATCCTGTGTCTCTGGGGTCTAGGTGAGCAGTCCAGACAGGTGACTCCACACCCATGAGAGAACACTGTTCTGGCGGGCTGGAGGACAAAGCGAGCAATGGGGAAACTGAGTCTCAGGAAGGCCAGGCAGTGCTACACTGGGGCTGGGGCTGGCACCCAGATTCTGAGACTTGGCGAGGACAGGCACCACGACCTGTGCCTGGGATGCCAGTTCACCCTGTCCTCCTTAGCATGACTGACTTTTACTTCTGAGCCCTACTCCCTGCAGCCTGTGATTTTTTATGGAACAGATTCCACATTTTCTTCACAAACCTCACAAGCCCGGCTCGTCTCATTTGCATTTGGCTTCAGAATCTGTTGTGGGGACTTCTAGGAAATCAGCAATGAGTGGCTCTAATAATTGCCAATTCTTGGAAAGCGCCTACAACAACTTAGCCAAAGGCGATGGGTGGGGCAAAGCAGTCCTCAAAGATGACATTTCTTCTTCACTCCATTCCAGGTCTCCATAAAAAGTTCTGTGTCATCCACATTCCAGGGATTTTCCAGGAAAATCACCAAAATGATGTTGGCATCATTAGGGCATGTGTTTCAAGAATTCCTTCTAGCTGCTCCCTTTCCTCCAGACTACAGCCGAATAAAATTGCTTCTTTCCTGGGATCTATTATTGGAAGCATGTAGGAGTAGCATAACTGACAAGGCCATGTTCTTAGGACTGGAGCACCTGCCTAGCATGCACAAGGCCCTGGGTTTAATCTCCATTACCAGGAAAAAAAAATCAGATTCTCAGAAGACCCTGGTCTGAAGTTTTCAGAGTTCATACATCCAAGTAATATCCAGAGTAATATGTAAGACTCTGTCCTCCCAATGTCTGCTTTCTCATCACTTTTTATCTACTCATGATGTCCTTATTGCTTCTAAGCAAGTCAGTACTCATCTTGCAAGTCAGTATTTTTGGCTGTAATTCTTTGTCATCCCTCAGCTTGGAGGACAACCTGGATTCGACCAGGTTCCTGGAGGACCAGAGACACCGTCTCATGGCTCCAGCCCCAAATGCAGCTCTATGTCTCCACGTGTGTGAGGGTCTCCTTTGACATGGCTGGTGCCCTCACACCCAACACGATGGCCTGGCTCTGTCCACAGATCCAACCTCGATGAACTTCCACTGCTGGACCAGCTCCAGGATCACCACTTCGTGCCAGGCTGGTGAGCGGGCATTTCACACATTCTGCTGGGAGAGGAGCTAAGCTGCGGACCTAGCTTGTGTTACATTCCAGGGCCCAGCCAACTTGGCAACCCCATGGGTCAAGGCTGGTGTGTGGCCAGTGCCGAGTGTGGCACAACTAAAAAGTATAAAACAGTGCTTCCCTGTGGCATCACATACTCAGGTAGACACTGTTGAGAGTACCATATGGATAGTCTATGATTTCTGCTACCACACTCTTCATAATCTTCTTCTTCCTCCTGTCAGGAGTCTCTTCTCCATATCTCTCCTTCTGCAACTGGAACCCATCTTCCCTGTTGGTGCTGCTAGTAATGAATGCCACAGGTCATGATGAAGAGCATAATGTCCTCTGTATCTCAAGTCAAACTTTGGCCACACCCAACCCTGCCCAGGCAACCCCACAGTCTTCAGAGTTTCTCACCAGTTCTGGATATCTAAGCTTTGGTCAGAAACTGGAGATGGGAGTCTCAGCTCTAGAACATCAAAAGGGCCCTTCTTTCCAGACATCTGAGCATTGTCAAAGGCTAGAGATGGAGTCTCAGCTCTAGGAAATCAAGGAAGTCCCACTTTCTGGACATCCGAGCTGCATAGGAGGCTAGAGCTGGAGTCTCAGCTCTAGAACATCAAGGAGAGTCCTCTTTCTGGAATCTGAGCTTCACTGGAAGCTGGAGCTGCAGCCTGAGATCTAAAAGATCAAGAAATTCCTTCTTCCTACATATTTGAGTTCCAGAAGCTAGAGCTGGAATCCCAACTCTACAATGTCAAGCAGCTCTCTGACACCTAAACATCATCAAACACTAAAGCTCTAGAAAATTAAGGATGTCCCTCTTTCTAGACATCTGAGCTTCATCAGAACTGGAGCTAGCATTCCAGCTCTGAAATATCAAGAAAGTACCTCTTTTTGAACATTTGACTTTGATCAGAAGCTGGAGCTGGAGTCTTGACTCTAGACCACCAAGAAGGTCCAGAAAGTTGAACTTCCTGGAAGCTTCACTGGAAGCTGGAGAAGTAGTCCTGGCTTCACTGGAAGCTGGAGCTGCAGACCTGATTCTAAAACATCAATGAGTCCCCTCTTTCTGGACATCTGGACTTCTTTGAGCTGGACATCTCAAAGGCCAGATCTAGAATATCAGTTTCCTCTTTCTGGAAATCAAAGTATGAGCTGGAGATCTGACTCTAGAACATCAATCAGGTCCATCTTTCTACACATTGGAGTCTCACTGGGGGCTGGATATGCAGTCCTCACTCTACAGCATCAAGGAGACCCCTTTCTGGATATCAGAATCTCCGAGGCTGAAGCTGGAATCCCAGCTTTGGAACATCAGGGTTTTCTCTTTCTGCATATCTGAGGTATAAAGGCTAAAGCTGGAGTCCTGGCCCTAAAATATCAACACGTGCACCTTTCTAGACATCTGGGTTTCACTGCAGGCTGGATATGCATACCTAGGTCTAAAACAAGGAGTCTTCTCTTTCTGGACATCTGCATCTCAGGCACTGGAGCTGGAACATCAAAGGTGTCCATCTTTTGGAACATCTGAGCTTCATCAAAAGCCAGCACTAGAGTCCTAACTGTAGAACATCAAGGAGGTCCCACTTTCTTGATATCTGAGCTTCACTAGAGCAAAAGTTCTGCCTGTAGATCATCAAAGAGGTCCTTTTTCTGAACATGAGCTTCACTAGAAGCTGGGGGTCTAGCTGGCTATAGAACATTAGGCTGGACCACCTTTCTGGATTCGTGAGCTTTGCCAGTGATTGAAGTAGAGTCTTAGCTTAGAACAAAAAGGAGAATACTCTTTCTAGGTGCCTGAACTTCACTGGAGGCTGGAGATTGGTTTCATCGCTAGAGCATGAAGGAAATTCTTCTTCTAGACCTCTGAGCTTTATCAGAGCCTAGATCTTTACTCCTTGGCTTTAGAATATCAAAGAACTTCCTGTTTCTGGACATCGGTACTCCACTGGAAGCTGGAGGTGGAGTCCTGGCTCTAGAAGGAGGTGTTTCTTTCTAGATGCTTTAGATTAAGTCAAGATCACGGCTCTAGAACATCAAGAGAAGACTCATTCTGAATGTCCATGGTTTGTCAGAGGCTGGAGCTGGGGTCTTGGCTCTGAGACAGCAAGAAGGCTCCTCAATCAGAATGTCTAAGCTTCATCAGAGGTGGGAGCTTAGGTCCCAGTACTGGAACAGCAAGAGGGAACCCCATTTGGATGCCTGATGCTTGTCAGAGGCTGAGGTTGAAGTTTCTTCCCTGGAATATCAAGGAGGATCCTCTTTTTGAACAGCGGAGCCTCATCAGAGGCTGGAACTGAAGTCTCAGCACTGGAGCACCAGAGGGAGACTCGATATGCAGGGCTGAGCTTCACTGGAGGCAATGTCACCACAAGGACTTTACTGGACTCAGCTGGTCATGGACTCATCTAGAAGTGCACTGCTAGAAGCCATCTCCTGCTCTTCTCTCTGCTGCCTGGACCATCGCTCCACACCATCTATTCCAGTCTCTTTGAGGGGCTGAGGTTAGCTCTCCTAGGTTAGGTCACAGCCATGATTCTCAGGTAGTTCTTTTTCTTAACAAAGGGGCCATGCTCACTCAGTCCTTTGCACTTATAATTGAACTTGCCTGCAGGTCTCGGGGTCGCTCTCTGTAAGGAGAAGAGGGGAGGGGGAAGGGGGAAGGAAAGGAAGGAGAGGAAGAGGAGAAGGAGGAAAGCAAGAAGAAGGTGGAGAGAAGACAGGAGGGGAGAGAAGGAGGACAAAAGAGGAAGGAGAAGGAGGAAGGAGAAAAGAACAGGGAGGAGGAAGAAGGAAAGGATAAGGAATAGAAAAGAGGAAGAGAAGTGGGGAGAGGAGAGGGAGAAACAGGGAGAAGTGGTAGCAGTGGCCATGGTGGCAGCTGTACTGGTGATGGCCATGGTGACAGCCTTGGTTGCAGTGGCCATGGTGACCGCTGGATGGCCATGGTGGCAGGTGTGGTGGCGATGGCCAAGGTGGCAGCCTTGGTTGCAGTGGCCATGGTGACCATTGTCATGGCGACAGCCATGGTTGCAGCTGTGCTGGCAATGGCCAAGGTGGCAGCCTTGGTTGCAGTGGCCATGGTGACCATTGTCATGGTGATAGCTGTGGTTGCAGCTGTGGTGGTGATGCCCAAGGTGGCAGCAGTAGTGGTCAATCCTCTCATCTGCTCCGACTAAGCCAGGTGCAGCAACCTCCTTGGACCCCACTGCCTCCACTGGGGCTGCCACATGCTGCAGCGGGACTGTCCCTTTCAGGCACAGGGGGACAAGCTCACCTCCCCAAGCCCACTGGTACCCCCACTGGCCAGGCAGGGTGGGCAGAGGCACTACCTCTGCAACTCACACAAAGACCTACTCAAGAATGAGTGTTGGCCAGGGTCCTGGTCAGGCTGCTTGTCTCAGCCACAGTGGCTCCTTGGCCAGGCCCCTAATATGGCACTGGGGAACATGGAAGGAGGAGGAGGAGGAGGAGGAGGAAGGCTCACAGCCCTGGAGAGACGGTCCCTCTGGGCTTAGGGACCAGGACAGTGAGCCCTTCTCCAAAGCCAGACTCCCTCCGCTTCCTCCCCTGCCTTCCTTTCTGGAGCACAGAAAAGGACACCAGATGAGGACACCCTCAAGTGCCCGTTCGGTAGGCACCTGTAGCTTCCTGGGTCCTGAGCCGGCTCCCACCCGTCCCCCATCACCCTGCAAAAAAGGAAGCCCCCACCAGGCAGAGCGTCCAACTCCCCCTCCTCAGATTAGTAGTACATCATCACTGCTTTGGTTAACACAAGAAACATTTATTGAGAGCACGAGATGTCGAGCCCAACCCGGCACTTCGGAACCATGTCCCAGTGCCACAAAGCAGCCCTGTGATGCGAGGCAGGTGTCCGAGTCCACTTCACAGAGGCGGGCAGTGGAGGGTCCTTGGTGCCCCCAAGTCTCAGCGTTCAGGGCTGGGTGGCTGACCCCCGGGTCAGCGCAGTCCTTCAGTCAGAGGGCGCCTCTCTACTCAAGGGGAGGCCCGGTCCAGAATCTTTGGGTCCAGCCTGTCCCGTGGGAACGTGCGTTGGGCGTCCCCGTGGCTGTGAAGGCTGAGAAAGACACAGTTGCAGATGAAGGCCACCTGCTCCCGGTCCCACAGAATGACAAGCGTTCTCATGCAGACTGGCAGGCCCCGGAGGGAGGAGAGGATGGCAAAGCCCTCTCTGGGGGAAACCAGGGGGGCAGCACTCAGCCTCCAGCTCTGCCCTAGCCCAGAATCTAGGGCACTGAGCCTTCCTGGAAACCACCCCCAGCTCTCCTATCACCTGTTAGACTCTGGAGTCCTTCTAACATCTGCACCTCATCCTCCTCTGGGTGGCTTCTAAAACTTCTAAAACTGACCCTCCCACCTCTCTCTCTGTACTGGTATTGACCCCTGGGCCTTCACACTTAACTCCATGCCCAGTCCTTTTTAGATTTTTTTATTCTGAGATAGGGTCTCACTAAGCTACTTAATTGCCCAGGTTGGGCTCCAATTTGGGATCTTCCTGCCTCAGCCACCCAGAGTGGAGGGACTATAGACATGCGCCACCACCCTGATACTCCCATTTCTGCCACCACCACCCCCTTCCAAACTTGCTGGCTCTGGGTATTTAAATGCAGATCTTCCCCGCATTCTGGGGTCCCCAGCGCAGGCTGTGTGCTGCCCCTCACGCCTTTCACTCTGTCCAGCATCCCATCATCAGGAGCAGCAGAGTTTTGGGGAGCACAGTGCATCTTTACCCAGTGCCCACGAGGAGGACAGGGTTAAAGGCACCTCTGTACTGGGTAACAAAACATTTCTTTCCACATGAACAATCTCATTGAATTCCACAATAACCCGGCCAGGTATGTGTAACTATTTCCAAGTTACAGGTAAACAAACTCATCCACAGGCAGGTAAGGGGCTAGGGCAGCCTTGAATCCAGACCTTGATTCTCATGAGCTAGTACACAGCACACAGCGAGGTTCAGAGTCCTGGTGCTGGATGCTCCCAGAAAAGTGAGGCTTGGGATGGTTCAAGCAACCTGCCTGAGGACGCTTAGGGGGCACATGGGCCAGAACCCAATGGGTGAGATGCTGGAGCCCCGGGCCTAGGCATGAGCCCTGGCCCTGGTTTGGGGGGTGTGGGGTGGGAATGGAAAAAAAGGAATCAAGGTCTGGAGTCCCATTGCCTCTAACCTCCATCTGCAGGGCACCCGCCCACCGCTGCATGCCAGCCCCAGCCTGCGTCTCACAGGCCCATGCAGGGGGCAAAGGCTCCAGAGGTTTCTTGAGGGGGCACGGGCATGGCCAGGTCATCCTTATGGTTTGGTACTTGCCAAATGCCAAAAAATCAAAATCACCCAGCCATATCACCGAGAACATTTTAGTCCCAGTGACGCTTTATTCTGGATGTAAATATTTGCCAAATCGAATTTTCACCAGGACAGACCTCAGTGGCAGCCCATGCCCTGAGTGAAGCCTCAGCACAGGCAGAGACCCCTGGGGCCTCTGAGGGGCCTTTGCTGAAGACACACACCCTTTCCTCTCAGAGGAAGGGCAGGGACCATCAGCCAAACAGTCCCCCCTGCCCACCCCTTCACCCCTGCCCTCTGCAGCAGAGAGCAATTGTTACGCACCTAACAGTGCAGGAAGCCGGGAAGGAAGGGTCACAACGGCACAGGCCTTGGATGGGGTTTGCATGCAGCTTAGCCACAACCTCTCTGCCTACCCAAGGCCACCCCCCCAGACCCCACAGTCCTGTCCTGAGGAGCCAAGGCCCGTGGAACTGATGTCAACCCACAGACTCTGAGTCCCTGGGAGGAAGCCCGTGCGCCTCTAGCTACTGTGGGGCCCCTGGAAGCAGGGAAAAGGCCCTGCAGCTCCCAAAGGCTGTCAAGGACAGGGACGCAGACCCCAAAGGCTGTGCTGCAAGCCCCCGCCCCACCTTACCACAGAGCCCGAGGAAGGGGACAACCTGGGGATCTGTGCCCGTGATCTGGTGGCAGGTGTCACGGGACAGAGAAGTGGCAGCCAAACAGGACAGTAAAAGCTGGAGGAGGCTGGGTGGACAGGACCAAGGCCAGACAGGTTCAATGACCCAACCACAGATGCTGGAGAGCCAGAGCAGGAAGAAACCTGGGGGTCTGAGGAGGGCAGAGCTGCATGGGGATGGGAAAGCCTCCCCACAGAGGCAAGGACTGGAAAGGGAGATCAACAGAGTGATGGAGAAAGCCCCATCAGAAATGACCTGAGATGCATCCACTTACCTAAAAATGTCTTAAGTGTGTTCTTTACGGCAGAGTAGTACTCCACTGAATTTAAACACTTTTTCTTTATCCATTCATCTACCAATGGGCATCTGCACTCTTTCCAAGGTCTAGCTACTATAAATTGTGCCACTATAAACACGGGTGTGTATACATCACTGTGGTACAAAGTCTTTAACCCTTTCAGGAAGACATCAAGAAGGGGAGTAGCTGGGTTCAGTGTTTTGATTTCCACAGTGGTTGCACCAGTCTGCACTCCCACCAGCAGTGGAGAAAGGGTCCTTTTTCCCCACAGCCCCGCCAGCACGTTATTGGCTGATTTTCTGGAGTGAGAGGGAATTCTCACTGTTGATTTACTTTGCATTTCTCCAATAACCAGTAATGTTGAACATTTTACCCCCTGTGGTACCAGGGATTGAACTTAGGACCTTGCACTTGGGAGACAGGTGTGCTGCCACTGAGCTATATCCCGGGCCCAAACATTTTTTCATGTACAGAGTCCACCAAAATATGTATACATCAGGAAAGAAAACCATATAAATATTTTAATACTGAATTTACTGAGACATCATGAGATTAATTAATACAAGGTACCTTTGGCCTCTACAATTACAAAACATACTCAAGCTAAATAAAGTGTGTATGCATTTTTTTGTCAGGCTCTGTACTCATTTGTTGTTTATTCATCTGAGAAATGTCTGTTCATTTCAGATGCCCACTTTTGGATTGGGTCTTTAACTTTGGGAGGTCTGATTTTAAGTTCTTTATTCTACACATTACATAAATGGGTGCACCTCATAATCACAGTTTTAAGTGAAATAAGTCAGATATGTAAGAGTAAACATCATGTTGTCTCTCTCAATGTGAGAAACCCAGAAGTAAAAATATGGACCAAAATGGAAGACATTGTGAAACAGGAAGAATATGTTCGAATGGGAAGGAGAAGAAAGGGCAGAGGGAAAGAAAAAGAGATTTTTAAAAAGAGAATGGAAGGGAAAAATGGAAACAAAGCTTTTGTAAATGGTGAGGGGGAAGAGCTGAAGGGTGGGGTGAGAAATGGGAAAAAAGAATTAAGAAATATTATGTACAGATGCAAATTCCCTATGATGAATGTGATCATTATGTATGATGAACATGTATTAACAATTTATTTTTTAAAAAAGTGACCCGAGACTGTGCTCAGTGCTGACCAGAGGCTCCGAGGAGCTGTGGCCCACGTAATGTCCCCATACCCTCTCTACAGGGTGCTGCTGGGCACCCAGTGGAGATGGGCACACGAGGAAACAGTGGGGTGATGAGGGAGTAGGACCAGCTGCCCGCACAAGGCCGTAACACTCCAGCCCTGACACCCAGCATGCCTGGCTCTCGGCTGGCCCTTCAGTCAAATGGGCCCACACCACCAGGATGGGAGGTGGCAGAAAGCAAGAGTCTCAGCCCTGTGCTTGGTGGCTAGCCGGGGGCAAAAGGGAAAGGGGTGTGAGGCCCTAGCCCCCCAGAGATGCTACCCAAAGCCCCACCCTCCCTCTAAGCTGCCCGCTACTGTCCCTCCAGAACCAAGCACACCCCGGCACACACCACCACCAAGTAGGGCAACCTCCCAGCACACGATACCCCCCTCCCCGGTCCCCAACGCCGAGCGGCCCAGCCAGCCCAGGAAGCAGAGGCCCAGGAAAGAAAGGGAGGGCAGTGGCAGCGGGCAACCCCGAGCAGGGAGAAAGCCACCCCACCCGCAGCATGCACATTTACCCCGGGCTCCACAGCTGGGCACGGGCGGCCTGCTCGCCGGTGACCCAGTGGCTGCTGGAAAAACAACCTCAGCATAAGGGCAGGGCTTTTTATTCACTTACAGCTAATAGAGATATCACTAGTGCTTTCCAAAACACATACACACACACACACACACACACACACACCCCGCATGTGACCAACCCAGTGGCACCAGCATGAGCACCTGTCACAGCCACAGTGGACCCAGCCCTTGGCCCTCACAACAACCCTGTGAGGTAGGCTTTCTAGGGACTCACACCCCCAAGAAAAAGGCACAGAGGGTTGTAGAGGCAAAGTGGCCCACCCGGAGCTGCATTAGTGAAGCAGTCCCGAGATATGGCAGGCCCCAAAGCGCGGGCTCCTCACAACACGGAACACAGGCTCTCCTCACCCTGCCAGAAGCCTAGTTTTCCAACAGCATGGCCCAAGGTGTAAGACACAGCAACTGTTAACAGGTTCATTAGGAGCGGGACACAATGTTGCAGCGGAGGTGAGAAGCAGCGGGCCACTTCGCAATGGTTAGAACATGGTAAACGGCTGCCCACACAGGCACAGGGAGGAAGGAAAGGCCCTGCCACCAGCCTGACACTGTGGGAGGCACCCGGACATTGTCAGGGAACATGGGACGTTGGGAAGGGGACAGTTGGACAGCAAGTGCCCAGCACACCACTGGGAGGGGACTTTCGAGCGGGATAAAAGCGGGTGCCGCCCACAGGCCGATCAGTGGCACAGCCCTGCGCAATGCCCACCCTTCCGAGGGGGTGTGAACGTGCAGGGGTGCTGCCCAAGGAGTCCTGAAAGTTCCTGCCAAAATCACTTCTATTTCATCCTAAAATGCCACGAAAATTTAGCATCGTACCCCACAACGTACCCTGCAGATTCATAAAAAGTGATTTCCCACTAAGCTGCCCCTGGCACAGGCCTTGCAACACACACACCTTCCAGAGCCACTGTGGCGTGGTTGCACTGACCCTCACAACAGCCCTGTGTGGTGGGTGCCGCCCCCACCTAGAATACAGGCTCAGGCTTTCACAGAGGGCTAAACACACCATTGGTCCCAGCTGCAGAGTCCAGGCTTCACCCGTGACAGCCCCACCTCCAGCAAGGACTAAAACTTGGAATTCTAGCAGAGCCCCCAAGATCTAGGCCTCTTCCCACCGGGGAGCAGCAGCTCTTGTGAAGCCCGGGACCCACTCAGGCACTGGCAGCTGCACCTAAGGCTGGTCAGCTCGCACGGGCCTCGGACACCTGGTCTGCCTATGGGCCACTGTGCTGACCCCTGCCGGGCACGATCCCTGTCCCTACGTGGGCAATCATGGCCTGCAATTTTCTCTAACAAGAGCCAGGCATTAGCTAATATTGAAAGGGGCGGGATAACTCTCAGGCTGCCTCTGTTAGGATCGGGTATCCTAGGCCCTTGAAATCCCACTCATCACAGACCTCGAGTTCGCCATCGGCCCCTTGAGAATCTGGGCTGCGCTTCTGAGCACACAGGGAACACAGTTTGCTGATTACTAATCAACCTCATTTTGGAAGGAACAAAACTGGAGAGAGCCATCTGATTTGCAGTGGAACTCGGATATAGATGTCTGAACTCCATCAAGGATCTCAGTTTGTTTCGGGAAACACAAAACACAGCCCCTTTACAAACAGGGTCATCTTTGCTTCCAAGGTGTTGCAAGGAGACCTGGAGAGCCAGCTCTCATATAGCACGGCCTCGTGTTTTCAGATGTTCACTGACTAAGACAATGATGAAGGGATGAAGGACTGGATGGGTGGGTGACAATCACTGGAGGCTGAGGACAAGCTGGCTTCACAACCATGGCCTATGGTGTTACACAGCCCACCCGGAAGGAGAAGCTCACTTTCAGGAAAAAGGGAAAAGGCCAAAAGCGCCAGGTCCAGAAATGGAGGCTGAAGGCGTGAACGGATGGACAGAGGGAGGTCGTGCTGAAAACCCCCAGTAGCCTCCCAAGCTTCGATGCTAAGATGAACACGGGGTGAGGGGTCCCCAGGCACCTGACACTCAGTGCTATAGTTGGGGTGAGAGGGAAGAAGCAGCCAAGAGCGGAAGGAGGGTGTTGGGAACGTGGGGCAGGCCCTCCCAGGGCGCAGCAACGGCCTTGGAGACCTGGCCTGCTTGGGGGTTGGTGGGAGTCCCAAGCCTCCTCAGCTCATGGGGTGGAATTGCATCCATGAAGACAAACTGAAATCCTGGTGCACGATGCCCACTCATCGGTGAAACCCCAGAGGCCACCATGGAGGCCAGGACTTGGGGTATGCTGGCGGGCACATCTCAGGACCCAGGGAAGCCCATTCCCCTGAGAAGTGGGAAGTGGAGACCCCAGGCCTGGCGATGTTGAGGACTAGTGGGTGGTGAGTGGGTAGACACGAACTTGCCCACAGGACTGTGCAGGTCCTGGGCAGGACTTTCTGGAACTTGGGGCGGGGGCGTGTCAAGGAGGTGTCCCTGGGCCATAAGCTACAGAGGTGGGCCTGGGGTTTACATGTGCTCACTCAAGGGGTGCAACCTTAACTGTCCCCTCCCTGCCAGCCAGGGGAAGCCTTCCTGTCCCCACTTCTCACTTCTCAGAGTAAGCAAATCCTATTCACACAGACTTGAAAGCCAGCTAGGACAACCCCACACCACCATCCGAATCTCCACAAAACTAGACTCCCAAAGCAGCGGCCGGTCCAGCTCCTCACCCCACCCTAAGGGTGCCCTCGAGCAGCCTCTGCAGAAAGCCATGACCCAGTGGACTTGGATGAACAATTCACAAGATGAAGTTAAGGTGCAATTTGTTTGTTTGTTTTTTGGGTACCGGGGATTGAACTCGGGTCCTTACACTTGCAAGGCAGGCCACCGAACCGCTGAGCTAAATCCCTGGCCCTAAATTTTTATTTATTTATTTATTTATTTGGTACTGGGAATTGAACTCGGGTCTTTGCGCTGCAAGGCAGGCCACTGAACCGCTGAGCTAAATCCCCGGCCCTAAGGTGCAACTTGTTAACAAACAGAAGTGGGAAATGTTCAGGCTTTCTTAGTAATCAGAGCAAGTGAAAATGATGCAGCCATGCATGGTGGCCCACACCTGTAATCCCAGCACTCGGGAGGCCGAGGCAGGAGGATCGCTGTGAGTTCGAGACCAGCCTGGGCTACCTAGTGGGCTCCAGGTCAGTCTCAACTACATAGTGAGACCCTGTCTCAAAAACCCAAAATAAATAATAAAATGATGCAAAAGCACTTTGAACACAGAAAAACAATCAGATACTTCAAAAAATTGTTAATACATTTATGTATTATGATGTGGGCATCATAAAGCCTTCTGAAAGTAACCAATGTCCACACAAAAATCTCTGGCTTTTTGTGCAGGAAGCTCACCCCCCAGAGTTAATTCATTCAGCCTTCACTCTCTCACTCACTCACCTATCCATTTCTCTGCCCGTTCTCTCATCCACCAGCCCACCTCTCATACCTCCACCCAGGCAACCAGCAGACACGGGAGATACAGATCCACTCGACAAGCCCCCTGCCCTTCAGGGGCTCACAGTCTAGCAGGAGAAACCAGCTTGGAAAGAAGCAATAGTTTCTGGGCATGAGAAAGCTCTGCACAAAAATGGGGAAGAAAGTGAATGTGCAAAGCCATCAGTTATGACACACTCTGCTATATGAAAAAAGGAGATGACTTCGGCATAAAAGTAGCAGGATGGTTTGTGAATGTTGCCATTCAGTGGGACCCAAAGCAGGAAGATTATAAAGACTAAGGAACAAAGGAGAATGCTGATAGCGGAATATTAAGTGGAAAAGAGAGGAATGCAGGAAAGCATATGTGGTGAACAATGGCAATTAGGTTTTAAAAAAGATAAGATGCTCAAAAACAAAATGGATGTCATCCAAAAAAAAAGCAGAAAGAGTGCCGAGAAGACAAGAGTGTGAAGAGCAGGGAGAGGGCGGCATGGTGAGCTGGCGTGGGGTCCTGCACAACTTTAATGAGAAGCCCCAGGACCGAGGCCCATGGGGGCCTCAAGTCAAAGGAGTGCGGTCCCTCTTGGCAACACCAGGGAAAGCAACTGTCTCATTTTACCCCATTGATAAAAAGAAAAGGCACACGTGAGCTACGCCCGGTCAGCAGCGGGCTAGGGTCCAGCTGCCTCTGCATCCTCAGCAGCCTGTCCTCACCCTCCCTGTCTCCAGCTAGAGGCCTTGGGAGCCCAGAGCCAAGCCTTTTAGGAGGCAAATACCCCCGGGCCCCTTCCCCCTCCTGGCCTGGGCATTCACAGTACCCAGGAGTCACACAGTCACTATCCACTGCCCACTGGGGCCTCAGGAGGGGTCCTCAGGTGCCTTTCCTTTGTCCAGCTCAACCCAGGGTAACTGCTCAGAGCAGCAGCTCCATTGGCAGGGGTACAGGCTCTTCCGGAGGTCGGCTCACCCCAGCCCCACAGCTGTGTCCCTCCCAACTCTCCTGAGTGTGATGAGGGCCCCCTTCTGTCTCCCACTCCACCACCTGCCACTCAGCTCGGGTGCCTTTAAACCTGCCACTAGCTTCTACCCCAAGACCCACCCAGTCTGTCCTGAGCCCTGGCTAAGCCCTGGTCCCCTTCCCCACACCTGGACTCCTGGAGAATCTTCAGGCCAGCAAGTGTCCCAAGGGCCCCAGATTTCTGAGAGTGGTGGCCCGCAGACCCCTGTGGCCCTAGCCCCACATTAGGCCCACATGGCCCCGCTCACGTGACCCAGACACGTGGGGCTGGGGGCACAGAAGGTGGCTTCTGACACGTGAATTCTGTGTCTTCCACGTTCTAAAGGCTGTCGCCACCCACCCAGGGCCTGTGTCTGCCTCTCCTTCCTGTACTTTGTGTCCCCCACCTGCAGCTTTAGCCCCCAGCTTAGCCCTCCTGGCTGGCCTGGAGCAGCACGGCCCCACCCCGGGAGTTCTGGCTGCACCCTACCCTGTGTGCACGTGCTCCCTGGGCCCCCCAAGTGTGCTCCTCCCATCTGGGCACTGGGTGAGAACCGCCATTCTCTTTTC